CTGCTGTAAGCTAGCTAGCTAACGTAGCTAACCTAGTCATTTCAGATATACTGACAAACACTTTCAGTTATGAGATTTCTAACTCTGCAACAGAGACAGTTATTCAGCTTTATAATCCTGAAAGTCAGAGTGCTCTGGTTTCCGTTGTGTTTTCAGCTTCTTGCAGCGTTTTGTTTTTGCAGTGTTTGGTTTATGCAGCTTTTAGTTATAGCAGCGTATGTTTCCTGAAGTTGGTGGGGATGGTTCCTCATTTGCATGTGTTTTGGCACACTTGTGTTTTTATATTTGCAATCGTTTGTGCAGCGCGTTTCTCCTAATGTAAATGTTCAAGGCCGCTGTCGGTGTGAGGGGGGGGGGGGCAACAGGGGCAAGTACCCCTGTAACACTGAGCTTTGTCCCCCCTGTGGCCCCCCTACTGAAGAAGAGTCTACGATAATACCATATGTGATAGTGTGGCAGCAAAGGTTGTCCTTACACTTGACGTCATAGAATTTAGTTTCAACTAAGTTACTGACACAAACCTTGTAAATAAAAAACAATTACCAATCATGGTATATTGTGTTTTTTGCAGGCTATTAAATTAGAAGAGAACTCAGGACAGGCCCGACATGTCTAACAGAATAATATGCTCTCCCTCTATATAGACAGCAAATACAGAGATGCTGAAAATAGTCCAACACCTTTTGGAATCACAGTGTGGGGTGTACAATAACGAGATGTGGAAATGTGCTCACCACATATCTGCTGCTGTGCTCAGAGGGTCACTGGTGATCACCTCAGGGGCTGTGACAGAGAGAGACAGAGCCAGTGATGCTTTTGTAAAAACTGTGTGCATGCTAACAAAGCATATTCAATTGAATTCAACTGGCAGAGCAAGCAAGCAAAGAAGAGAGACAGAGATAGAGATTGAGAGATCCCATGAGCAGTAGCTTAATCAAAGATGAGCCACTGAACAAAAGTGGAAATTCAACCATAAAAGTGTCATATCTTGTAATCAAATAGTATTTCTTCCATTGTTATTAATGTAATGTCTTTAACGACGACCCAATTACTCCCATAATGTAAAAAACCAAGGGGAAAATAGAAACATAGAAAATGTCCTCATATTTAAGCTTGCATAAAGATGTTGCAATGGTTAATGTTGGATTTATTTTGTCTGGCAGTGGTACAAAACAATACGGAAAAAATACAATAAATGGTAAATATAAGATGAAAAAACCATGAAGTGCATGGACAAAGAAAGCAATATTTTGAGATGGTACATCTTAGGTGATATTAATGAATGATTTCATATCTATACACAATGTTGGAGGAATCTACCAGATCTAAAAAATAACTCTTCCTCCTCACCGATGTACTGCGGGGTGCCGCTGGAGCTCCTGTACTCCTCCCCCTGATGGAAGCGGTGTGCGAGGCCGAAGTCGATGAGTTTGATGTTGGGGTGCGGGGCCACTCTGTCTGACAGCATGATGTTTTCTGGCTGGATGGAGAGAGAAACGATATCACAGCTGTGTTTGAAACATCATCAGCAGCAGGCAGTGGTTGTCTTCAGTTCGCTGGTACCTTGAGGTCAAAGTGTACGATGTTCTTGCTGTGCATGAACCCCAGCCCCTTCAGGATCTGCTCCATGAACTCGATAGCCTCACTCTCCAGCAGGTTCTCCTTTTCAGCAATGAAGTCAAACAGCTCCCCTCCAGTAACACTGAAAACAGAGGAGTGTCTTACAGTCAGGTGTTTCTCTTATGTTTGACCAAACCCTGAACAGGACAGGGACAAAGCAGCAGAACATCATACAGGGAGAGACAACAGTAGAGATCGTCCATATAGCAAATTTCTCTGAACATCGTTTCTTTCAGTTGATTCCAATGAGCACAGAGCGCGTTCTTTTTCTGAGCGCACTGCTTTTTTTTAGCTTTCAGTGGAAAATATGACACTTTCCAGAAAAGTGCTGGTGAGGCCACAATAGAAATTGGAGGACAAGCTTGTTTTTGGCCGTGTCTTTCAGAGAGAAGCCATCATAACTGTAAAGGAAACCTCTGGAGCAAGGACTTGAAACACAATGAGAACACAGGAGAGTTCGACTTGATGGCAGACACTGAAGGTTACGGCCGGAGAATTGACAGAGACATTTTCTGCAGCCACGAAGTGACACAGCTCATTCATACAAAGTCTGAGAGAAGCAGCTTCCAATTGGTGCTCAAGGTAATAAAACAAATATAAAGTAGCCCGTATACACTAGAATTGCATCATTGGATTTTATTATCTATCTAGCAACAGCGGTGACACGTTGTCTAGATATTGTTGTCATAGATATTGTTGTCATAGATACAAACTCCGCCCATCCAGCACAGAGATCTTGGTGATGGATCAGTCACTTCCTGGGTTGACTTCTGCAATGCTCTCCCCTAAATCCCCAACAAAGCACCAAATGATACTGAGAACTCCCCCACCCCCATCCTCCTCCAACTGGTTCATACCTGTTGACTACAAAAACGTCCTGCTCACCTCCACAGCCCGCCCCCCCCTATCTCACTGCCCTTCTT